TTAAATAATCTACAGTGGGAGGTCACTCGTGAAGCGAGGGCAGGGGCCAGGGGTATGCACTAGCCAATCGATTAAAACGCGTGTGGGCGGGTTCGGATTGGTGCCGCGATTGATGTTGAAAAGGAAATGTAGGCTAGGCCTTATTTGGTAGGGGCTGAACATAGGGTGCTCTTCGCGCTACCTCGAAAATGGCGATTTTTTTCGCCTCCTATCTCCGTACTGTCAGCCAAGCCAGCCCTTGCAGACCGTGCAACCCGCGCCATCCAATCGAGTGTAGCTTACACCCGACTAGCCTGGAACTCTGGCTTCGCCAGGAAACAACAGGACATGGGAGCATGTTTGCTTTGAAATTATCGTAATACATGCCTGCCAACATTCTCAACAGACTGTTTTTGCTCGTTCATACATGGGAGTGAATGGAGTCAGGCCATCTACAAACGCCGGATGTTAAAATTAAGTACCCGCGGGCACGAATGGGAGATGGTATACACGCGCACCAAACGCCGGCCTCCCTACGTACCAACACGGTAAGCTGCCCCAAATTCTCCCAACGCCCCAAGAAAACATGCAAACCAAGAAAAAGTACATGGGTAGGCAATGACGCACCCTAAACGGCTGGCGGTCGCAGCTTACCGTTGTATATCGGAGCCCACGTTGTGGAGCAGAGCACGCTCATTCATGCTCCGGAATGTCCTCTTGCCCACCTCGTAGCTGCTTATCATGATGGCACATGCGGGAGCCACCTTGAGCGTCCGTGGAATCCAGCCCTTGAAAAGGCCGGGGACGCCCTCGGCCCTGAATATGTGCCATAACAGCTGCACCATAGTCCGTTCCTCAGGAGCCACGGCCGCCGCGGCTACCGACTTGGCTGCGATTGCGGATGCTCCACCGGCCGCGCTCTGGTAGACCTGTGTCCGCGTCTTGCCAACGTCGAACGGGGTCGTTGCTACCGATGCGAGTGCGCCAGACAGCGCCCCGGCCGTGAAGCTGTCCACGAAGGTGTCGGTATGGTTCTCGCGGCTTTGTGACCTCCGCCTGGCCCGTCCGCGCGACTCGTCTGGTTCACGACTGCGGCCCCTATGCCGTTCCCGCGCGTCGGTGAGGCCCCCACGGATGGCCTCGTAACCCCACCAATACATGCCAGAGAACGGCACGTCTCTCCAGAGAGTCAGCGTCAGCCCGCGCCATAGGGAGCGGTAGCCCTGGCTTCCAACCATTTCTCGGATGCCGCGGAAGGTGTCGGCGACATGGCCTGCCGCTGACGAGCCATGCGAGGCCTGCAGCCGCGTCCGAAAGAGTTCGATAGGACTGACAGCTGCCGCCGCTAGTATCCTGGCCACGGATCCAGCTGCCAGCGGGGCATAGTCCTCCTTGACAGTCTTGTATATGGGGCTTTCTCGGTTATATCGTAGCCACTCGTATCCGGTGAAGTATATAATATTGCCTGGCACTGCCATGAGAAGCGTAGGTGAAAGGCCGCGCCACAGTGTAGTCACGCCTTCGTTCCGTGCGATTTTCCTCAGGCCATCCATTGTCGAAGTGTACGTCCTTTGTTGAGCCTGCTCGACGGCGCATGCCGCAGCGACCCCGTCCGACCCCGGAGTGGGGGCACCCTGGAGCCGGGGCCCCGCGATGCAAGCCTCGGCGTTGTTGTTCATAAAGAAGACTTCGCGGCAGCATGCTGTAACGCCTAGGTTTGAGGGTCGAAATGGGCTAGGGTTCCCCTGGGGTAGTCTGTAGGGTTCCAGGGCGGGCTTCAGGACATTCTGCGACTGTAGTCGCACGCGCACCACGTCGAGGGGTGTCACTGGATCCAAGGTATCAGCGGGCGCACAAGTGGTAGAAGAGCAAGTAGATGGAGCATCGATATGCAACATACCGAGAAGGCCAGTCAATAGACTGCCTGATATCGCAGACATCATCTTCTGGACGGCAGTTATTTCACCTGGGTCGTCCCCAGCGGAAAGCGAGGGAGGAACGCCTTGGGACATGGTCGCAGGGGCGGCCCTGGGGGGAACCCTGGCGAGCGTCGGAGGCGCGGGGCCATGGTCGGTTGGAGCGCCCAGGCTGGATGCAGCAGAGCCAGAGGCCAGTGACGCCATAGCGACAGAGGCTACGCTCGCATTCTTGGCGAGCGCGCGCCAGACAGTCGGAAGTCAGATGGATATGGCGACTCGCGATGGTGGCGCTGGTGAAGAGAAGCTCGGCAGGGCGTCTGTTCCTTGCCGTCACCTTTATCTGCGCGGAAGTTTCGGATGTGACGTCGGAGCTTGGGGAGGGGTGCGGCGAAAAGTCCGGGGTTGGTTCAGGGAAGTTGCCCAGGACTCGGAATGAGCCTGTGATGTGTGATTGCGGTTGGGATTGAGTGCGGCGCCGGGCGGGAGTGTGGGATGGCCTCGGTTTTCCTGCGCCTTTCCCGAAGTCGGCGGGTCATCACCAATTTGATTTTGCCCGTGCAGAATCGTCAATGACGACTGTGGATTGGTTTTTCGACGATGCTCTCTGGGCGTCCATTTTAGCCCGAGGCCGGTGCAAGCCGTGGGTTCTGGCCAATCAGCTACCGCGACCACAGCGGTGGGAACACACGCGGCGGGTGGAGTCGGAGAAGGGAGAGGTGAGGTCCATGATTGACCAAACTCGGCTAGACCTGGTGAATTGATGGATTGATGAATTGATTGAATTTGGTAGAGGATTTTCTCAAGAAGACAATCTGGCCATCCCTTCAATCGATTGCTTGTCTGCTCGATTTAGCCAGGAACAACACGTAAGCAGGCGATGGATGCCGCTGGACCACTGGACCGAGGCTCCAACACCACCAGGCCATGCATGGCGAATGAGAGCTGAGCGACGGACGATGCAGACGCACTCTTTGGGACAAGTGGGTCTAGCCGCAACCTAGTTGAGCGTCTCAGCAGATCGTACCTGACGCCCACAGCCCATGAGCCCCTGTTTCCTGCCGCGGAGGTGCCCCTTGGCAAAAAAAAAAGTGGCCGGAGGGACGTACCAACCGTCGTCCAATCACTACAGACAGCCGTGACAGCTCGCGAGAGAAGCGGACTGCAGTGCCTGTCGCCGTGCGTGTCTTCGGACGAAGTTCTCACCGTTTTGTATCCCAGCTCTGTCTCCAAGCTCCAAGCTCCAACGTCCCACCAGACCAACTCCCGTCCGACTCCCGAGTCTAAACCCTCAACCACCACTCCCCCTCGTCCCACCACCACCCATCAGCTCGCCCGCGAGTCCACGCCGCATCGATCCGAGACTGCGTCGTCGGTCCGTGTGCGCGAGCAGGCCGTCCATGGCTTCCGCCACATCTCGCCATGGCTCCGTACAGAAATGGCTCCCCCTGGGCATCGCGCAGATCTCCCTTGGACGATAACTCCATCGTCGACGAACTCCGCGCCTCGGCCGCCCGCGCCATGCGCTTCGCCGCCAGCTTCGCAAGGGGACCCGCTTGGCACCTGGCCCTCTCCCTCCTCTCACGAGCCGCCCTGCAGGTCCGCCGCAACCTGACTTCGCGCCGGCTACTCAGCTTCCCCCATTTGATGGTCGCCATGTGGCTTCTCGTGCTGCTCTGGGGTGAGCGCTGGGTGTTTGGCACCAAGGTCGAGCAGTGCCGCTGGGACAGATGGGAGAAGTGGGTAAGTATCGTCCATCCTCTGTCGCCCCGACGGTGTTGGGCCCCGGTGCCGTTCCCACTGCTAACAGCCTCTTGAAAAACAAAGCCTACCGGTATCACCCCCCACCGAGTCGTGCTGGTGGCCGATCCGCAGCTGATCGACCCCCATTCCTACCCTGGGAGGCCTTGGCCTGTCAACCCCTTGACCTACCTCGTCACCGACAACTACCTCCGCCGCTCCTACAACCAGCTCGTCTCGCAGCTCCACCCCTCCACCATCTTCTTCCTTGGCGACTTGTTCGATGGCGGCCGCGAGTGGAAGACGGAACACGGTGAATTCAAGGACCCCACCTGGAGCCATCGGCCCGGAGACGAGCAGGCGCTCCTAAAGACGTGGAACAAGCGCTACGGTCAGGACTTCTGGCTGAAGGAGTACGGAAGGTTCGGCGACATCTTCCTGGACCCCTGGAAGAAGGCCGCAAAGAAGCACGACAGCAGCGCCGCGCAACGGGGCCCCAGGATCATCACGAGCCTTCCTGGGAATCACGACCTCGGTTTCGGCTCCGAGGTCAAGCTGTCGGTGCGGAACAGGTTCGAGACATTTTTTGGCGAAGGCAACCGGGTCGATGTCATAGGCAACCACACCTTTGTCTCGGTCGACACTGTATCTCTCAGCGCCGACGCATCGGAGCAGCGCGGCGTGGTCGGGGACGTTTTTGCGCCGACGCAGAACTTCCTCAAGAGCGTGGCCTGGATCAAGCGCAAGGCCGTCGCTAAGGCGCTCCGACACCAGCAGAAGCGGGTCGAGGAGGTCCAGTTTCCCCACCGTATCGAGGATCTCGCGAACGCCGACTTCAAAGACTCTCCGAAGCTTGTCTCGGGCTCTGGTGGCCCGGATTTCCCTTCGATCCTGCTGACCCACGTACCTCTCTATCGACCCCCGGGCACTCCATGCGGACCTCTAAGGGAACACTGGCCTCCTGCCAAGCCGCCCAAGGGCGAAAAGGGGCCCGTATTTCCCGACCACCGCAACGCCATCTCGGTCTCGGGAGGATACCAGTACCAGAACGTGCTCGGCGAGCAGGACTCGGCCGACCTTATCAGTAGTATCGGCAACGTGGTGCACGCCTTTTCGGGCGACGACCATGACTACTGTGAGCTGACGCACGACTCCAGGCAAGCAAACGTGCGCGAGATCACGGTCAAGAGCATCAGCATGGCCATGGGCGTCCCCACGCCGGGATTCGTCATGGTCAGCCTCTACAACCCCATCGACGCCGATGGCAAGCCCCTGCCTGGCGCCCCAAAGACCACGCTGCAGACGCACCTCTGCCTCCTGCCCAGCCAGTTCCACACCTTCTCCCGCTACCTCGTTTTCCTCATTATGACCATGATAGTCCTGGGCGTCCGAGCTTTCCTCGTGCCCATCCTGCGTCTGACCCCCTTTGCTTTGCCGCCGCTGCGCCGGTCGGGCGCGATGCTGCCCATGTCCAAGGCCAAGGGACGTGATGACGAGCGTGACGAGAGCTGGAGGTCCCCCAACTCGGGGGCCTCGGGCTTTTCCACCCCGTCACTTTCGGCGTCGCACTCGCGCGACGGAAACCGGAGTAACGGCTACGGATACGACGGCGCGAAATCGTCCAACGGCGGGCCCGCGGGCATGTCATCGTCGGCCAGCGGCAAGCTGCGGCACTCGTCGCAGCGCCAGTCTAAGGCCGGCGTCGGCGGCGGCAAGTGGGGCTGGGGCGCCAACTCGGAGCCGATGCGGTCGCCCAGGATCGAGATCCACAGCGACGACGTCGACTACGACGTCTACAGCTACAGCGCCAACGGCAAGTGGAAGGCCGCCCGCCGCCCTCGGCGCCCGTCGGGCCTGGCCGCCATGGTCCGCGAGCTAGTCGCGACGCTGTGGCGCGTCGTCTGGATGGTGCTCTGCATATGGGCCTGGCTCGCCTGGAAAGGCTAGCCGATCTAGGTCGTTTCAGGGCTGCCTGACCTTTTCTCAACCTCCCGGTCCTCCTCCTCAACACTCGGACATTTCACCTCCTTGTCAGTATCCTTGATGACGACTCGTCCACATGTTATTCTTGGGTCTGCTTTCTGGTTTACGTCGCATAATCACATCTTTCTCTGGAGCCTGGGGTGCATCTCGTTCTCTCTTCATTCTCGTGTCTTTTTATTTACCCTTTTCTTTGCTTGATCTCACCCTTAGTATCAGCGTATTTGGATTGCAGGATACGAATAGTCTTAGCCTACTATATAGATCAGTCGAGTTTGCGCGGGTGGCATGTTGAAATGACTAAGGCTTTGGGCATGAAAGCATGTGTCTTGACATTTCGTCTTGTATTTTTTCTCCGTGTTGTTTTTACATTGTGGTAGTTTAACCAAGGAAGGTAGCTGTGCTCGGCGTGGCGGAGGCTCGGAGGTTGCATCTGCACTTGAATCCAAGGTAGAAAAATGGGCGCGGCAAAAAGGCATCGCTAGGGTTACTGGCCTGGTAAATACGATAAACCGCATCTCTTTGATTACTCCTTTGCATTGACCACTCCCACTGATTACTATTCCTCGAATCCAGTCCTTCGTTGTAAAGAGAAAACCCAGACGTAAAAAGGAAACTTTTTTTTGGGGGTGGCGTGTTGTCAGGGAGAGTCGTTGAGAGCACCAGTCCAGACATACGCAAAGGCAAGGCTAAATATCCATTGCGAAGAAAAGCCAAAGGCCAGTTCGGGACCCGACAGCGGGGGAAGAAGGATGGGGATCAAGGACAGGATAGAAGGGTATAGAGATTAGAGAACAATTGGGGAAATCATGACGAAGGCGAGAGAGAGCGCATTGGGGCAAAGGAAATGGACCGCTGACGAGGAAGGCAATAAAAAAAAGGAGAGAAATTTTGGACAACCGAGACGCCACCTCCCCCTCAGTGCAGCTTCTGTGTCAGGTGCACGATGGCGGTGAAGCCGGCGCAGCAGGCGGTGCTCATGTTGTGGCCGCACCAGCAGCACTTGACCGAGGTGGTGATGGCGCCGCTGATGCCGATGGCGCGGTCCTCGACGACGGCGTCCGGGTTGGCCATGCACTCGTAGACGCAGCTGGGCATGTCCTGGAAGAAGGCGCAGCCGCAGCACACGACGAGCATCTTGGCCATCTGCTGCCCGACCGCCAGCCCGCCGCCGCCTTCCTTGAGCGCCGCCGCCGCCGCCGCCGCCGCCCCGGGCGGTGCCGCTACCCGGAGGCTGGACACTGGCCGCGACGATGATGGCGCTGACGACGACGATGATGGCGACGGCAGGGGCGGGACGATCAGGGAGCGCCGCGACACCGTGACGAGCTGCTGCTGCTTCTGTTCCGGGGTCTGTTGTTGTTGTTGCTGCGGCACGTTCGGCACCATGAGTGGCTGCAGCTGCTGCCCCTGCACGCCGGGATGTAGAGACTTGCGGTTGCCCAGGCCGCCGCCGGCAGCGACGCCGCCGGGTGGTGGGAAGGTCTGGGTGCGCAGCAACAGCTCCCTGGGGATGGCGGGCGGCGGCGGGCCGATGGACATCCTGGCGCCACCGCC